GTGAGGATGGGGAATGGGGTGTCTTTCCTTTTTCTAATTGCTTTAAATATTCTGTCTGCTTCCACTCCTCCTCCTCCCCGGCCCACCCCCATATATACTTTCACAATTATAGTTTTAGCCTTCGACAAAAATCCTTTAAAAAAAAGAAGCACGTCACGACAAATCTTTAAATTTTAATGTTGAGAATTGTATTAATGTTCTTGAGATGGGTCGGCCATGGCATCCGCATGGAAGACCACCGAATTCCCAAACAGCTGCTGTTCGGCGAATTCGCAAGTGGCAAAAGAAATCCCGGGAGGCCAAAAAGTGGTTCAAAGACACGATAAAGGAAAACCTCCAGTTTGCTAAGGTAACTCCCAAAGAACTCGAAAGAACTGCCACCGAAAGGAACACCTAGCTCAGGGCCGTCCGTATTGCCAGCGGAAACAGTGATGCAAACTACAGGGAGAAGCTGACTATCAGAAGAGAGAGGAGACATAAGCCAACCGCCACAACCACGACACTCCAGTGTCCCCACTGCAACAGACATTGTTCATCCAGGATCGGATTGCACAGCCACATGCGCGTCCACAGATGAGCAGCAGGATTCATCGTCATCTTCGAAAGGACTACCTACACCATGTTCTTGAGAGGGTGGCGATCTTGGATACAAACGAGTACACTTAACTTTGTTCTAAAAGACGTCTTTTAATAAAAACCCAGTTTTTTAAATCAACACCGAAGAAATAAATATAGTCTATTGTTCATGAATTGTTGTGGACGTATTATAACCTTTTTTTTAAAAATATATTTTTAAAAATGTTTTAGAATGAACCATCTTTTGTAGTGAGCTATCTTTGTTGCTACACTGCACATGGCCTACATAATCTTTGAACCGTACTCATTTGCTCTGCCGTATGTTTTTAGCTAAAGCATTTACTGCAAAGTTTTCGAGCTTTTGTGAGGCGCAACACTTAGAAATGAATGTTAATTACAGGTAGATCTATCATAAATTTACTTTTTGATGTATCACTTTGCTTCTGTTGTTGCATTAATCTAGTGCCGTCAAAAAATTCGTGGCGTAACTTATTGTCAAATATCTCCTTAACTACTGATCATTATAGATTCCCCAACGTTTGCACGATGACTTATTTCAATTTGTCTTAACTAAAATGAATACTTTTTCAAATTCCTGCATAAGCTGTATTATAGAAAAATTCTTAATAAATACTAATTTAAAAATCCAAGTTTCTATAGCTTTTAAAAAGTTAACAGCTTGGGCAATGTTGCTTTTAAAAGAAAGCTTGACATTGTTTTCTAATTGCGACTATATATGCTTATCGAACGCGTGTTTTGAGAAACTTTAGTGCAAAAAATGTGTTCACTCTAAAAAAGTTTTCTTGTAAAACTACATGTCGCCACTAAAAAGCTCGGGCAATATCGCTTTAACTTTAAAAGCAAGCCTGTCGATGTGGAATCATTGTATTCTAATCACGGTTTTATGCTTATTGAACGCGTGTTTTTGAGAACCTTTAGTTCAAAAAATGTCTTCACAATAATTTTTTTTCCTCTGTAACTAACTAGTTTTGCCACTAAAAAGTGTCATTGGCGAGTTGTGACGTAGGCCATTATCCGGCCATACTATTATGTGTATATTATTAAATGTGTGCAAGAAGCAGAGAGTGCTGTGAACAATCACATTTTCCGCGTGACGGAGATTTATAGTTATATAATAGAAAATTTATGAAGAAATTTTTTTTAAAAATCTAGCCTCTATTGTTGTGAAAAATATGGTTAAGTTACGAAAAATTGATACAAACTGCTGTACAAAGTATGAGTGAAGGTGATTCACCCGTTCAAGTCGAGATATTTGAAGAGTTTGATGGAAAGAGAGGCAGAGGCAGACAGAGGGAAAAGACACTGGACAAGATGACAACTTGGCTAGGAGCAGCAAGAGCAACAGACACCATTGCTGCAACGCAAGACAGAGTGAGAAGTGGAGTTCCATAATCGCCCTCGCCAGTCGGCAAAGCACCGGATGATGATGATGATGATGATGATGATGATGATGATGATGATGATGATGATGATTTGAAGATAGATTGCGCCACGAATTTTTGACCTCACAATTATATATATAGGTCCCTATCATCAGGGGCGGTATGTTAACTGGGCAAGACCGACGGTGCCGGTCAAATTTTTGTCAGCTGGACTGTTGACAAGAGATTTATTGCTGATTATGATTTTCATTCAGTTTTAAGTAAATCCGAATAAAAATATATCAGCATTCAAAAAGCACCTTGCCGATTTGAAGGCGTTCAAATAGACAAGTAGGATTCACTGGTATTTTGTCGCAACAGAGCCTCATTCCTTCACCTTTGTTAATCGCACCGGCTCGTAACTTTCGTCTCCCGTCAAGCCGTCACGTCGCGGAGCTTCGTACGAGGACAAATGAACACGGCGGGTACAGCGATGACGTTAGTCTGTTGGACAAATCCATCAACTGCCCTAAGAGCGAATATAACATCCCTTGATTGCCAAATTGGCCTCCGTGTTGCTAACAAAAGCAGTAATGAGACTGTCTTGAGTCTTGAGCAGCACAAACACATGAAATATTTTATCAGCAATACATGTAGGCCTACTTATCATTCAACCTTTCTCTAACTATCATCAGAACATTTATTGTCAGCATGGCTCTAATCTTTTTTGTTTATTGAATGTTTAGCCTTCTACAGTTCCTGTTTGGTGACTATTCATCGCTTTCTCCCCACTAATAACGTACCTGGCCCATATGACTCTAGCCGGGGAAAAGAAGAATCGTCTAGTGAAGATATATAAGGAGAATTATAACGAGGAGCGATAGGCTCTCGGCTGTCAGAGTCTGGGCCAAAAACCCTCCCTTCCCTCCCCTTATCCACCGTCACCCCAGCCAGAGACCGTAAATACCATTGACCCCAGCTAGACACCAAGTTCTATCATTAGCATTTGACACACTTCCCCACTTCGTTACAACAGTGTTCTGAGAACTGAGAAGTGTGATGAAGAACGTTTGATTACATAACGATGAAAACTGTTGTGCGCTAACTTTGTCCAGCTTTGTATAGTATATCTGATTGTAGACTTAATCTGCATGTGAAAGCGTCATTGGTACAGTATCAAGTTCTTATTACATATTTACAGGTCGATTGCACGTCGATATTGTGTGTGGGTGTGTAGAAAGTAAATGTCTTTGGTTAAAGTACCGGAGGCCATGACCCGCAGTTTGTTGGGCTTCTCACTTACAGTTTGTTTTCTAGCAAAGACTCTAGTAGTGTTTCATTTTCTATGCCGTTCAAGTCAGTTTCTATTAACTCAGTAACTTCCATCATACATTATTCATAATATTGTTTCTAGACACTACCATATTACTCAGCTCTTTTACATTATAATATTAAAATGTTTATAGTGGTGTGTGTGTGAGAGGGGGTGGGGATAGCGGAAGTAGGGGTATAAAATGAGGAGAGAGAGAGAGAGAGAGAGAGAGAGAGAGAGAGAGAGAATGTGTTTGTGTGAGTGTGTGTGTGTGTGTGTGTGTGTGTGTGTGTGTGTGTGTGTGTGTGTGTGTTGTGAAGGAAGGGGATGGGGGGAGGAAGAAAGAGTCTATGTGAATGATGGCCGGTCAGTTCTATAAACCACGAGCCGCCACTGCCTATCATAGAGTTTTAGTGCCTATAGTAGTGTACACATATGGCCCCTATACTACATTATGATTTTAGTTTAGAGAATCTGAGCCGGTGTTTGGAGGGTGTCTGTGGGACTTTCTTTATTTTCCCACACCAGGCCTAGATTATCATTATTTTGTTGTGCTTCTCTTTTCTCAAATAAACAAGAGAATCCGAACTGCTTTGATTTGCGTAAGAACAAAAGTCATAATACTTTTAATACAATCGAACTGAATCAACCTTTGGAATCAACTAAAAGGACACTATCTTTGAAATTTGAAAGGACACGATATTCGATTCTCTCACTCGAGTTGTTTCCGAGAGAAATCCCGTTTGGTTGAGATTTGCAACGAGAAATATTCTTGATCCAAATAAAAAATATAATCATTATAGGAATTTTTATTAAAGTTAGAATTTCGTGAACTACACAAAAAAAAGCATGGTGTACGCGCAGAAATACGTTTTGAACTTCTTGCATACCCTGAAAATGATTCATTCTTGAAGCCACTTAGGATTAGGGAAAGGAAAGAGAGTTTAGCCTACTTTATTTCTTAGGGACCCCACCTACCGGTTCCTATGCTATTTTAAGAAATTCTGAAATACCCATATTCCGAATATGCGTATTTTGTTAAATATTTCCCGGGAAATATCACAAGCAAAAGCAAAGCAGACCGACGACAGTGCTGATTGTCAAAACAAAGTTGATTTACAACATAAAATCTAGATCTACTTCTTGATTCACAATGAGCAAAAGTGCCACCACCAATTTACCATGGTAAGCAGGCCCACTTAAAGATACCATTCCCTAATTATTTTATTAAATGATGCTGCCACGCAAAAATGCCAAATAACTCGAAACAGAATCAATATTCAGGAAAAGTGCTCTTGTCAGGACCAAGGAGGAGGGCACTTATCTTGAGAATAACGTGAAGATTTCAATGAGATCTGACTGTTAGTTATTTTGATAGATCTACACTTTCTATAAAGTTACCAGTTAGCAGAAAATGCAATTTTGGGAAAGACGCAAACAAAGTCAAAGCTTTCGAAACATTGTGCAATCACAACTCACAACCGTCTCGGTTGGAAGTGGCTTTTCTCACCTGGGAAAACAATCGGGCGATTTTGTAGTTTCGTTCATTAAAGTCTTCAGGGGGTCTTCAAACATATCTAAATGGGTCCCCGGAGTAGTTCCGTATAAAAACGAAAGTGCAATAATCGAATAGTTCTTATCACGGCCTTTCCAACGATACCAAACTTGATAAACTTTGCAGCCACGGAAAGTGTTGTTGTCAAGGGGTAAAATTTAGCATTTCTTGACGTTATGTTTGAATTTTTTTGCCCCCGCTACTGCTTTCAAATACATTTTTATGTATGTTAGAGGGCCACCTCTATTCTCACCCGGGATGAGAATAGTACAGGCTAGTCTTTTGGCTATTCTCACCCGGTGCGCGTTCACTGTTATAGCCTAGCTAGGGCCTAGATCTAGGCCAACAAATTTTGCGTTCACCTTAAACCACAGAATTCTACACTGTGATAACAGAAAAATTGTAGAATTCTGTGCCGTGAACAAACGTTCCATTACAACTGTAGCCTACTAAAAGCGTACAATTTTGGGCGCTTTTTCGGTAGTTCCCACCCCGCAATTTTATTAACGGGTTTGGGCCACAAGAGTAGGGGGGGGGGGGGGGTTCAGGGGGGACATGCCCCCCTGAATTTTACCATAATTTAATATTTTGCAGTTGTTAGGTTTGATATCTTAGCTCACCGCGAATCAAACATATAGATCTAGATTATTCTAGATCTTCTAGATATCTAGATGTAGGTCAGGCTTAAATAAGGGGGGTGGGAACTACCGAAAAAGCACCCAATTTTGTATGTGGGCAGTGGAGAGAGAGAAAGAGACAGAGAGAGGAGTAGCGTGAGAACTTCCGGTCAAAACAAAATGGCGACCCGCGTAGTTCTGCTCGATTCGAAAAAATAGCCGTAGCATCTTTGTAGACAACCAAATTAATTTACTTTTGTGTTTTAACATCATTTTTTAACTTTGTTTTGGTCAATTTGATCGTCCACACTGATAGACAGTATTCAGAAAGAGAGAGAGAGAGGGGAGGAGTAGATCTTGCGAGAACTTCCGGGCAAAACAAAATGGCGACCCGCGTAGTTCGGCTCGATTCGAACAGTGAAATAGCCATAGCATCTTTGAAGACGATCAAATTAGCTTACTTTTGTGCTATAACGTAATTTTTTCTTGGCTTTTATCAATTTGATCATCCACACCGATAGACAGTATTCCAAAATGAGGAAAAGCAGGTCTTGTTTCGCACCGGGTGAGAATAGCCTACGCTGGCAAGTCTCACCCGGGGTGAGAGGTAGATCGTTTTTCTATTCTCACCCCGGATGAGAATAGCCACTTCCATGTTAGAGGTCTCTTTAGGTCTTGGGACCTTCACAAAAGGATTCTTGACATATTTTTCTGTAAGAATATCCATAATACTCGAAGTTCCATATTTTTTTTTAGCATATACCCGATTTTCTAGGGGATGAGACCCGCAGATTCCCTTAACTGTTCATTTGCAAATAATTAACAAGGTATTGAGATTACAACTTTAATTCTTCCATTTTCTATTTTGTTGCCCCAAAAAACATAAATTCACCAATTTCCACTTTTCATCTCATTCCATTCATAAATGTGAAAGCTATGGGTTTTCAATATTCAGGTGCCGTTTGCCCTTCTTTATTCCTCTATAGAGGAATTTTCTCCAAAATACCCACAATATCTGACATGTACACAGCCATGACTTTTTTATTTATGGGCCTATTTTGAAAAAGTAAAAAGCATTTTACTTCTGGATTATTGATCTTTGTACCTGGATTGTTTATGGGTTAGTGGTACCCATCTTTAAAAAAGCTGTGGTCTGCTGACTAGGGTGTAAATTAGGTTGTAAAGCGCACAGAGCATGCTGTTGAGCGGAAACTTGCGAGATCCAAATGCTACTGCTATCTATTATTATTATTATTAATCAATGTGCATTAATGTGGGACCCGCTGGATAGGAGTTGGATATTAAACATTATATATCAAATTTCAGGGCTCTCTGCCTACTTAGCTTGGTTCTATCGGAGAGATAGACTTTGATTTTGGAGGGATTTCACCTCTCAAATGGACAATTTAGTTGGAAGGGGGAGTTAAACCAATCCATACCTTATTGCCTTTTCTTATGACTATGGGTTCAAGTTTATGAAAGTGCTTAATGGCAGCAGACAATATATGAGAACTGTGTAGGACTGTAATGGAATCTTGAGTATTTGTGGCTATTTGATTTCGAATGTTATTGAGCTTGAGGATAATGTCTTTATCTAAAACTAAAAGTGTTTAGTTGTCATCTTTTGTTTCCCCAGGGTGGAGAAATATCGACCAAAGCAGTTGGATGATCTCATTTCTCACAAGGACATCATTACCACAAGTAAACTACTCTTGGTTTCTCATTGTTGCTGTTGTTTTTTCCTCATTAGGTTTTAATTGTGCCACAATGTGGTGGAAACTGGCGCTCGTCAATATTTTGACAAATAAATCCTGTCTATTTGCCTTTCTTTTGATAAAAATTAATCTTCAGTTCTTCAATTGAAGTCGAGATATTTTCAATTGAAGTCGAGATATTTACGAAAAGAGGTGGGGGTCACCTAGTATCAGAGGTAAAATAAGCAAGAAAATAGCTGCCCAAGTTTTGTGACTTCCAACACTGTAGTGTCCTTGGAAATTGGAAAATATCTTTTAGTGACTTTGGCCGTTTTTCAATAAAATCCACACTGGAAAATCATTTTAAATGGACATAAGAGGTGCTTAGCCTAAAACAAACATTCGATGAAAATTGCCCAATGGGCGGAAAAATGTAGGTTACTTCGATTTCATTATTTTGACAAGCGCCTGATTTTTTACCATTTTGGAGCACATTTGAGTATTACTTTTGTTTTGATCGTTGTTGAGTTTTTATTATACAGAAGTTTGAAAGGGACGTTGGCTGAAATGTGAGAATTTATTGAAGGTAGGGAGGAAAGGGGTTTCGACTTCTATAATCAGTATTTTTTTTTTTTAGAGAGCACATATATATGCTTAATTTTTTTTAAATAAAGAAAAAGAAATTTACTCTTTCACTAGTGGGGGGGGGGGGGGGGTCCTCACCTGGGCCAGGTCCTATCTGTGACCTACTTTCTGATTCTACCTACCATCTGTCAAATTTAAGATTTTTTAGCCACATGTATTATGAAAATAAAGTGGAAAGAGTGACCTATCTCATCATGTTGCTAAAAATGATTGTTATTTCAGATTCGATTATTATAAAAGTAGGTGTGGTTTTGAAGCAGGAAGTGGTGAGCTGTGAAACACGGCTTGGGGTCCAGCGTTGGGGGTAACACGAGCCATCAGTAGTGAAAGAGTTAATGATTGCAAAGTTTTTTTTTTTAATGGACATCTTTTTCTCAAATCTCTGTCTAATCATTTACCTTTTAACGGTCTGATGATTATGATAATATGTTTTTTAACGTTATTAGCTGAGATTTAGTTTTGCCTTCAATGTGAATTTTTCACGTCTCCTTTTTTCCCCCTCAACAGTAAGCAAATTTGTTTCGGAAGACCGACTGCCACATTTGCTCTTCTATGGCCCGCCAGGAACTGGAAAAACAAGCACCATTCTCGCTGTAGCAAAACAAATCTACTCACCTAAAGAGTTCAACTCTATGGTTTTAGAGGTTGTTACTACTTTCGTCAGTTGTAAATTTTCTTTTTGATAATCAAACATTAATGTTCTTGATACTTACATGTGTAGTGATGATAGATATGAGGTACTTTTCTTTTCAACCCGTGAAATTAGAAAGTTTCAAATGCAATATTTTTGTTCTTTATATTCCAGGAAAATATTATGTTATCAATTGTAAAATTAGATTGTTGTCCTTCTTTGGATTTCCTCAACTTTTACATATACAGTCACCTTTGTGTGGTCAGACTTGTGTATATATATATGTGTGTGAATACATAGCTGCCAATTAGTATGTAAAAGATGTATTACTATTAAATGCGTTTTTAAGCTCTGAGTGTTGAAGTCTGTTTTTGCACTGGAAAATACATATTTTCTATTTTCTAGTATTGCACTTAATGGGTTTGCCGATGCTGGAGAAAAATTATGAACTTTCAAGATGGAATTTGTGAACAATAATGAGAACAAAATCCATAAGTCAGATGGAGAGATCTTTGCTGAAGGTCTACTTTGAATTACTTGGATTTATTGAATATAAAGCAGTGTGTGTGTGTGAAGGGTTTGGAGGGCGTTACTTTGCCTATGTTCACCATTTCGATCAACTGTGTGGGTAGAGTCTGTTTTTTTGGTTTTTTTCTTGAAAAGTTGGTAGCTATACAAATATAATTTACAATAATCTTTACTGACACTTGTTTTGTTCTGTCCTTACAACTGTCAGTTGAACGCATCGGATGATCGTGGTATTGGGATTGTGCGAGGTCAGGTATTGAGCTTTGCAAGTACAAGAACAATTTTCAAGTAAGTGTACAATTATATTGTGATGCTAGTGACTGGTGTGATTCCCCCACGGGATGTTCTTGAATTTAAGTTGTACAGGATTTTTAAAGGCTCTCTGCCTTCTTACTGTGGTTCTTTTTTTGATGTTTCAAGGAAAATGTTTGCTTTATAATCTCCCTATCACTCCTTCACTGTGACCTTTTGTTTAGTCAATGTCAGAATTTATTCTGTCTTGGGGAGGGGAGAGAGTGGGGCACAGGGACAGAGACAGCGTCGTCCTGGGTGTTGTATGAGCAAAAATGCCGTATGATGCCCACGTACAACTTGAGAAGACAGATTTTGTCTTGTGACTTTACCATGGGTCTCAATATTCCGCTATTTAGCGGATTTCCGCTACCGCCATGTCCTCCGCTAAACTCCGCTACTGCGAAAGCGGGTCAATCAGAAAGAGGGTTGCTGGGAACATAGTGACTGCCAGACCTCGGGAATTACCAGCGAATTTGGAAAAAAAAATCGCAGAGACTCGGGGAAAATAAATTAAAGGACTCGAATATTATTTGAAAACCAAGTCCGATAACGTCTTTAAGTTCATTTTTGCCGGTCGTGATTGTGATGTTAATTCGGCTTTTCCAGGTCTGAGAGTACAAGCGGAATTGTATGTGACACCGAGGCTCGACCGGAAAATCAAGGTCTCAGAAATTTGTCTGTAAAAGTCTGAATACGCAACATTTGTAACATGCAGGTTCTGCGTTACAAACGTGGTGTCGCCATGAAAATAATGTTCGTCACTGTGCTGTTGCTTGTGGGGGGGGGGGCAAAGCAAAGAAAGTTATACAAGCGTCTTGTCGGGCAGTCATTGTGACCGGTCAATGAACCTGCGCGCGGTCTGAGGGCTGTGAAGTACAGGACTCCGGAATAGGGGGGGATATTATTGATTTTTAAAAAAAGATACACTCGGGGATGGGCGGAGGGCTGGACGCAACACCAGAGGACAAAAAAAAAAGAAAAGAAATTGGAAGCAAATTTTAATATTTAGAATTTTGATTACTACGACAGCTCTCTGCAAAGTAAAGTGCGCGTCTGTGCATGCCTTGTGTATAATCGGGATCCGTCATTACTACTTGTAAGCGTGTTAAGGAACTTAGGGCAGGGGCCTAAGTGTTTGCGTTTCATTGGATGGGTGACAGTAAATTATGTCTCTATATTTTAGCTTTTTGTTCGAGATTCGCAGATTTTAAGTGTCACTGTATCTTGCCCTCCCACAGTTCCTACATCCCTCACACTAAATAGGTTTACTTGAGCTATTCAAGTTATTACTCTACTTTGAGTTTGAGCATTAATTTTGTCTTTCACGTATGTTACATGTGTATGAATCATTACACCCAGACAGGTTCATGACAGTCGATATTCTGGTTCTAGGCCTTTTCCCAGGTTCAAAACAAGATTCATTTTTATATAGTTTATATAGGCGAATATGATGAAGGTAAAATATAAATAAGTCGAACAAGACCACAGTGCGCCTCCACTTTCTGTACGTAATCAAGATTGTTAATATTTGGTAAGTGACTCTTACTTGAAATTATCTTCCAACCCCTCAAACTGGTATGAAATAACCTTGCTTTGATAAATTGATGGTTTTTATTTCAACATTCTAGGGTCCAACTGTATAATAATAGTGGATGTCTCGTGAAAATGGGCTTCTGTCGTGATCATGCGGAAAGTTCCTCCTTTTTAAAAATTCTGAGTTGAGACCCATGATTTACAGCCGGATTGAGAAACGGGGGGGGGGGGGGGGGGGGGGGGGGGGGGGTTCATACTTGAGTTTTGTCACTAAGAGTTAAAATTTTATTTGTGGGATGTAAGACAGTTCAAAAGGTTCAAATTTTGTACTTTGATGTTCTGATTCCCAATGAAAGTACGTCGTACTTGAAATTAGTTGCTATTTTTCTGCTGGGGATATTTTACTTGTGCTTTTATTGTAATTCAAGAACTATTTCCATTATGATCTGTTCTACCTTTCTATGAGAAAAAAAAAGAAGTAAGAAGTTTTCCCCCCGGGGCAGTGCCACTGACTGTAGTGTGTTTAGGCCATTCCCAAAGGGGGGACATTTCTCGTTCAAGCATAGTAGAATTGTAAATGGGCTGATTCATCATGTCACGCTCATAACTGTGCCTGATCTACAACGGGGAACTGCTGCGTTTTCTTTCCTAATCCTTACTATTGTCATTTTCCTCTACTTCTTTTGTATGTTTGTCACTCTTTTGTGACCTGCTATTTCCAGGGTGCCTTGATAGTCCAAGGAGACCTTGTGCTGTTGAAGCTAGAGAGGTGAGCAGAGTAAGTCTGATTCCTTGTAAAGACTTTTCTGTTTACACCCACCTCTTGGCGCTCATATGACCTTATGCAATTGCGAGCGCCGTAAAAACCTCTACTAAAATTAAACTAAGAAGTTTCTTTAACTTAGAAAAAAGATTAAATTTTCTTTCATTAGTTCATGACATTAAATTTAATTATGTGTGGACGAAAGTGAAAAGAAAATTCTGTTTTACTATTAATGAACCAAACTGATTTTCAGGAAAGGATTCAAGATTGTCATATTAGATGAAGCTGACGCCATGACAAAGGATGCTCAGAATGCGCTGAGACGAGGTATGTGTTGTGTCAGTGTGTTGGAAGAAGTTAATGTCGATACCCCATTCTTTTAGTAAGTCAAAAACATATTTCGGACATGTGACCCAATGTGGCCACACAGGGACTGGGAACCTGTGATGTGTGTAGGTCAAGTAAGTTATAAATGGAGGGGGGCTCAAATGGACTTTGATCAGGTGTGTATATAATTAGAATGTCCTTTGCCCTGGATTTCTTTATGTGGCTGAAGTGCGTTTGTGAAGGAATAGTTTAGTGGGTAGTTGGCGGGTGCTCTGGTGTGGTTTGCTTCTTCTTTCCTATCAAAGGTCTATCGTCTTTATCTCCACTCCTTTTTTGTTTGTTACTCTCTTGTAACACCTCTAACCTTTGGCACTGATATGACCTTATTGTGTTGCAAGTGCCGTAAAACACTTACTTAAACTAAAGTTTAGTGTGTGATGTTTTTTGCTGTTTTGGAAACAGTGCAAATGAAGATTCACCAGTGTCTTTTTACAAATGTATGACAAGAATGATGTATCCCTTTTCTTTTTTTTTTTAAGAAAAAGGTATTCATAGACACACAAAAATTGTCTATTTTGGTACAGTAGTGCACCTTTGTGCTGGAATCGCAACAGAATTTTTATGTTTCAGAGATTTACACTGTTCTAAAAGTAATTGGAGACGGCATAGTACAGGATGCTGAGTTTTCAAAATGCTTATTGTGTTGTAAATTGTACCTTTATGGGAGGTGGAAAAGATGTAACAGTGGGTGGTTAGCGGGTGCTCTGGTGTGGTTTGCTTCTTCTTTCCTATCATAGATCTATTGTCCTTATCTCCCCTTCTTCTTTTTTATGTTTGTTACTCTCTTGTAACACCTCTAATCTCCTGCCGCTCACATGACCTTATGCAGTTGCAAGCGCCATAAAACTTCTACTAAAAAATTTTTTTTTAAAAGATGTAACGTTACAAAGGCCACCCAAAGAATTGCCTCCTCATCTACCTACTCACCTAGGTTTTTGTGATTTTGTGAGAGCAGTCCCCATTAACCTTTCACTTTTGAAGCAAGCATTTTGATCAGGTTGAGAAAAAAAAAGAATCGCGAAATTAGAAATATCGTATTGTGTTGAATTTCTATTTTCTTCTCAATTCTGCAATGTAGGTACAGTTGAACCTGTAATCGCCACCCTAATAAGACAATCCACATGTACAAATGTCCGTTTAAGGTTTACTCCCTTGCATATTTTTTATAATGGGTGGCTGTTGTAGACAGTTTCAACTGTATATTTATATATTTGTTACTGCAGGATTTTCAGAGGTTTTATTTTCATCTTTTTCGACAAACTATTTTGCAGGGAAACATCAAATAAGTGCATTGCGAGTCTCAAATGACACTGATGTTATGGGCATTACCTTTCGTCCGTACACTCATACACACTCGTACAGCCACCTATACATTCTTTCACAAATTCATGTGCTCACACACATGTATGCTCTTAAATTAAAGCCTTAATCGTGTATATTTCTTGTGTTGAGACTTTAAGTATACCACAATTTAATATTTTCTCAAGTGGTCCAGTCTTTTGCTGCTTTAATAGTTTGTTTTGTAGGGAATATCTCTTTGTTCATAAGTGGAATTATTTGACCGTCATATATTTCAGTTATTGAAAAGTTCACGGAGAATACAAGATTCTGCATCATCTGCAACTACTTGTCCAAGATCATCCCCGCACTTCAGTCTCGGTGCACGCGGTTTAGGTTTGGGCCCCTGCATCAAGACCAGATGGTCTCAAGATTAGAACATGTTATAGCACAGGAAAGGTTAGTATTAAAAGTTATATTGAAAAATGGTATTGTATTATTTTGGGCCACATGTACAATGTTTTTGAAGAACTTGAGGAAGTAGGTATTGAAAATCTGGAAAGTTTGTTGAAAAGCTTTGTTTGAAGGGAGTTGCTGGTATACGTTTGGCTGGTCCTCAAGAGAGTGGTGGTTGGATATGCACATACTTGTCAGCGATCATGTATGATATATATCCCAGAAATGACGATGTCATGTGTATGTTTAATAGCCCCTATTTGGATGTGGCCAATTATCGTACTGTCATTTAATTTTGTTGTAAAGTTTTATGTTACGTACAAAAGAAATATTTTTGCTCTGTAATTTTCGTGCATATTCCTGTCACTAGTGTCTGTGGTGTAGCAGGTAGGCGCTTAGCCTAGGCATGCAGAAGATGCGAGTTGGAATCTCTCATGTTGAGAAATTTTTCTGTCTAGTATCTGTCTGATGTGATGTATCCTCTGCATGTGCTGGCCCTGACTGGCAGGGTCAAAGCAGTCTGTGCCTCTGCCTTCTAAATAAACTATACTGTGTCAGAGGAGTTCTAAAATATTCACTATATGAAAATTTATCACATTTCTTTTATTTATATACATTGCATATGTTTAGTTGCCCTCTCTTGATATGGTCAATTATCGTATTGTTATTTCAACATGTGATGTGTTGTTCTCTTACACGGTATACAATAGTAATGTTTGTTTTCAGTACTTTTCTTGTCACCCCCTGGGGCGGTGCTACTACTGCAGTGTCTTTAGGCCATTCCCAAAGGGGGGACTTAAGATGTTCTGATGTACAGTAGAATTGTAAATTGGCTGATTCATCAATGTTATGCTCATAACTGCCTGCACTGCAACAGGGAACTACTGCTTTTTCTTTCCTAATCCTTACTATCGTCATTTTTACCTCTATTTCTTTTGTATGTTTGTCACACTCTTGTGACCCGCTATTTCCGGAGTACCTTGATAGTTGAAGCAGACTTTGTGCTGTTGAAGCTAGAGAGGTGAGCAGAGTAAGCCCGATACCCTTTAAGGACTTCTCTGTTGACATCCACCCCTTGGCGCTCTTATGACCTTATGCAGTTGCGAGTGCCGTAAAACCTCAACTAAAACTAATACTAAACCCTCTTTGTGCCTCATTGTATTGGGACATTTTTATGTGTCATTCTTAAAAAAGCAGTGACATATGAACTCATGGTTTTAGCTGTCCTAGCACAGAAAGACCTATTCGTTGGAAGGCACCACTATTATATGTATGTCTTTACTTTCCCTGTTTGGTTTCTGTCTGTTTTACTTTTACACAGCTCTTGATTACTGTCATTGTGTCTATGTGTTTTTCTTCATTCATGAACAGGATGCTGTGTGGAAGACTAAGCTGATTGCTGAAATGTCAGATTAGAGGTCGTGGGTAGTTAGCATGTGCTCTGGTGTGGTTTGCTCCTTTTACCTATCATCCTTATCTCTCCTCCTCCCTTTTTGTATTTGTTACTCTCTTGTCATATATATATATCTCTAATCTTTAACCCCTCGGGGCGGTGCCACTGACTGAAGTGTCTTTAGGCCATTCCCAAAGGGGGGACATTTCTCGTTCTAGTGCACAGTAGAATTGTAAATGGGCTGATCTAACTATGTCATGATCATAACTGTGCCTGAACTACAAAAGGGAACTGTGGCTTTTTCTTTCCTAATTCTTACTATCGTCATTTTCCTCTACTTCTTTTATATGTTTGCCACACTTTTGTGACCCGCTATTTCCGGGGTGCCTTGATAGTCGCAGCAGACTTTGTGCTGTTGAAGCTAGAGAGGTGAGCAGAGTAAGTCTAATGCCCTGTAAGTACTTCTCTGTTGGCATCAACTCCTTGGTTCTCATATGACCTTATACAGTTGCGAGCACCATAAAAACCTCTTCTAAAATAAAAATAATAAACTCTAATCTTTGGCACTTATATGATCATGTTGTGTTGCATGTGCTGTAAAACTTGCAAAGACTGAAGACTAGTGGCCTTAATACTGTGCTATATTGTTATTTTTATGATGCCCTGTTTTGTTATACTTATAAAGAGTACAATAGTAACATTTCCTCCAGCTAATTTTCTTGCCTCTACCATGTCTTTTGATTCTACATGTTTTCCGTCTTTTAGTGTAAAGGTGACAGAAGATGGCATGAAGTCCCTGGTGACTCTGTCCGGAGGGGACATGCGGAAAGCCCTCAACATTCTCCAGAGCACGTCCATGGCGTATGAGGAAGTCAGTGAAGACAATGTGTACACATGTGTGGGACATCCGCTCCGCAAGGATATTGAGAGCATTGTGGACTGGGTGCTGAATGAGAGTTTTACCACTGCCTACCACAGTATCCTTTACTGGAACTTGTCATTTTTCTCTTTCATTTCTTCTGCTCTGTCATTCTCACTTTTATTATTTCAAACGGTGCTGATTTTCAGGATAAGCCTCTATGTGTGTGTTTGCAGGGGGTCCGAAAAGGTCAAACTTTTTTTTCCTCATTGCCAGTCAGTACCTTTGTATTTTTAGCAATTCACTCACTCTGGTAAAGCTAACTGAAAATACTAAGTGGTCAGGAATTGCAATGGAACTGTGCAAGACACTATGGCTTATTCTGCAATTTCAACTTGGCAAATAATGTGGTTTTTTTGTTCATCAAGTTTTAATTTGATATAAACTGAAAGATTTGGGAAAGCATCTTGAATGAAGACGTACGTCATTTCATGGAAAAGTCCAGTGAACAGGTGCATGTACCGCACATTTTATGTAAACCTCCATATGTGAGGAGAAAGGGAAGCGAGAGAGAGAGAAAGTTGTGATAAGGCACTGCTTTGGCCATGTAGGTGCAAACATGTTTTATCAGTTGCCAAGTCATTGACTTCTTGTAACACCTCTAATCTTCAATACCTATTTGATCTTATTATTTTGCAGGTGCCATAAAACTCTAATTTAAACTAAATGTAATTCATACTTAGCTTTCCATCAATTGAGAGTCACTACTGTGTTCTGATCAATAATTTTGTATTGTATATCACAATGCAATTTACCTCACTCCTCCTTACTTTTCTCTGTGTACTGCAACATCTGGTGTAATGGTTAAGTTTTGTCGTTGCATGCAGAAGACGTGAGTTGGATTTATGGCAGGGTTGGTGATTTTTTAAATTTTTAAATAAAAAATTTTAAAATCGATTTTTAAAATTTAAATTAGATTTTTTAATTTAAATCAGATTTTTTTTTATTAAAAAAAAAATGTCGACACAGTTTGGGATTTTTGGTGGCTAAAAGTATGTTCTTTTAGTGCAAAATGCATTGTCTTTATTTTAACTAGTGATTAATTTAAGCAACTGCAATTTTAGAAAGCCTTAATCTGCTATATCAGTGAATTATGGCTACAGACAAAAAATGAAGAAAATGTCAGTCTAAAAGGAAGGGGGGGGGGGGGGAGGGTAATTATGCATAGATAAACTTGCATTTTATTACAGTGTGTGTGTGTGTGCGCGCGCTTGTGTTTGTCTAAAAAGAAAAAGAAAATGCTGATTTAAATTATTTAAAAAAAGTAAGTTGAATACTGTATTATTTTACTACTTACAGTGACAGGGGGGAAAGCAGACTTTTAAGCAATTTTAGTCTACTAAACCTTATATCTGTTTTATAAAACCAAGGAAAGGAATTCTGCATGTTTAAAGATGTTAAAACAGAATACTTTTAAAAAAAGGTGATTTAAATCACTGAGTTTTATTTTTAAAGTCAAGTTGATTTAAATTTTAAAAAATCAACTGATTTAAATCGACCTGATTTAAATCAACCCAACCCTGGTTTTCAATTATGAAAAAAAAAGTAAATTGAGAACTGTATTATTTTACAGTGACACTGTTTTATAAAACCAAGGAAAGGAATTCTGAATGTTTAAAGATGTAAAAACAGAATACATTTTTAAAAAGTGATTTAAATCACTGAGTTTTATTTTTAAAATCAAGTTGATTTAAGTTTTTAAAAAATCAACTGATTTAAATCGTCCTGATTTAAATAAACCCAACCCTGGTTTTCAATTATGAAAAAAAGTAAATTGAGAACTATTATTTTACAGTGACAGGGGGGAAGGCAGACTTTTAAGCATGATTATATTAGTCTCCTAAACCTTATATCTGTTTAATAAAACCAAGGAAAGGAATTCTGAATGTTTAAATATGTAAAAACTGAATACATTTTTTTGAAAAGTGATTTAAATCACTGATTTTTATTGTTAAAATCAAGTTGATTAAAATATTTAAAAATCAACTGATTTAAATCCACCCAGCTCTGATTTCAATTATGGAAGAGAAAAAAAAAGTAAATTGAATACTGTATTATTTTACAGTGAAGGGGGAAAAGCAGACTTTTAAGCATGATATTAGTCTAATAAACCTTATATCTGTTTTATGAAACCAAGGAAAGGAATTCTGAATTTTGAAATGTGTAAAAACTGAATAAGAATACATTTTTTTTAAAGTGATTTAAATAACTGATTTTTATTTTAAAAATCAAGTTGATTTAAATTTAAAAAATCAACTGATTTAAATCAACCCAATCCTGATTTATGGGAGAGTGAAGCTAATTTATAGAATGTCTCAGTCTGCCGGAATGATGTAAGCGGTAAACCATTACTCACAGAAGACTTGAGTCAGATTTCCATGTGAGGAAGGCTTTTTAGTCTTGAGTATCATCATCTACCTGTTGAGACGTTGCATCCGTCTCTGTCCAAGTTGATCCTGATGGGCAGGATGAAAGAAGCCGGTCTCCTCGAGGGTTTGAATTGTGTTAATCAGGGATTATAACAATTTCCATTGTATAGTATAAAGCTCCAAATACCCTGAGTGTGATGTACACACACAAAAGTTTGCTGAGTTATAAAGTTCAGGTTCGGGAAAAAACCTCAAAAGTAATGAATGGTTGGAAGAATTATGATATTAAAATTGTCATATCTATTGAACAAAAGAAACAAGTACTTGAGGGTTATTCATTAATGAAGTCACCTGATATTGCATTTTATTTTGTCCGGTGATTTGGGAATTGCATGTCATGTTTAAAGTATTTCGCATTAATGTCGTGGATGATTGATAGGCACCACTTGTTTTGGTCTTTCTTTTCTTTCCCTGTGTTTTTTTTTGTCTTGCTTTTTGTGTGCTCTAAATGACTGTTATTGTGTTGTGTGCTTCTCTTTACTCTTACATAAATGCAATGTGTAGTTGCCCCAGTGAATCAATCTTCAAAGAGCTTTTATAGATTTGCATACTCGTATTAATTCCATATTTTTGTAGCTTGTTTGAACTTATGATAAAACAGATATCATGAAGCTCAAAACAGCAAAAGGTCTTGCCCTGGAGGACATACTTGCAGATGTGCATGCTTATGTACACAGAAGTAAGCATATTTATCTCATTTTGTTTATTTCTCCCTCCCTCTTTTTCTCTCTCCCCTCTTTCTCTCTCTCCCCTCTCTCCTTCTCTCTCTCTGTCTCTGTCTCTCTCTCTCTCCCACTCTCTCACTCTCTCTCTCTCTCTCTCTCTCTCCCTCCCTCCCTCCCTCTCTCTCTCTCTCAAAATGTGCTCCATGACCGGTTTCGTCTCTGTTAAATTTACCACTACAATCATCCGGCCATAAAGGATAGTTATAAGTGGTTAGCGGGTCGGGTGCTCTTGTGTGGTTTGTACTTTCTTTCTTGTCAAACAACTAATGTCTATCTCTCCTTTTTTTGGTGGTGTTTTTTACTCTCTTTTATACCATACGTGAGTTGTTTAAGCATCGCACTTTCGGAAAAAATAAATCCTTTTAATATTATAATGCGGATTTCACGATGAGGACCCATAGGTCCTTTCCCTCTTTTTTGGGGGGATTTTGTGAAAACAGTTATTTAATAAATCTAACCTTACCTTGGTGTAAACGACTCAATCCATGAACATCACCAAATTTGGTATAATAATCCATTTTGTCGAATTCACTGGCCACAAAAATCATTATGTACCTAATAAATGAAAATAATAAAAATAGACAATGGAGATAACAAAAAGAAAAAGAAATCAGTTGAAAAAATGTCTCCCAACGTCAGAACAGTTTATAAGACCTCGAAATCGTCATCGGCACTGATCTGGACGACTCAAAGCATTCATTGGCATAAAAAAATAGACAATCAGAAAAGGACGTGCTATTTTTGTCCCTAACGTCATTTGTTTACTTGCTACACATTGTGTTGCAGTCTTTTTCACTCTATATAAACATAATAGATGACAAATAAATGTGTGTAATTGGGTTGGATTTGTAATGGATTCTGACGTTGGTGTGCTTGGGATGTAAGAGACTTGGAAAACAAGAGAAAACATCTACCTCATAGAAAAGGACACTAAAGAATGAAAGAATGGCGCCCAACTGAAGTACAGTCAAACCTGCCCTGACGGCCACCTCTATAAGACGGCCACCCGTACAAACGGCTACTTTCCATTTCCCCCCTTGCGTTTTTTCGCAGAGGGAGACATGCGGATAGGTCAATAAAGGAGAACAATCCAGATTTTTTCCAATCCTCACTCTGACTCTGACACGCATGAAAATGATTCGTCCTACTTGTGAAATTGTCAGTTGTAATCACTCGTTGAAACTTGGTATTACAACTTGGCAGTTTCACTCGTAGGATAAATCACGATCTACCACAACTCGTGTAGTAAATTATTTGTAAAACCTCTAATCTTTGGCACTCACATGACCTTTTTGTGTTGCAAATGCTATAAAGCTTTTACCAAAACATTCTCTTTACTATTACAATGGACTTGCTATAAAAGAACAGTGTTGGCGGGTGCCCCAGTGTGGTTTATTCCTCCTTTCCTGTCAAACATCTATCGCCTTTGTCTCTTCTTCTTTGTGTTTATTACTCTCTTGGCACTTATATGACCTGATTGTTGCAATTGCTGTAAAACTTTTTAAAAAACGCATACATAAAGGACAGTCTACTTAGTGTGCCTGCTGTTTGTGGCTCCTTTGTTTTTAACCTAACTTACATTTCAGTATTCTAGTTTCCATTTGTGTCACAATGGGGTGAAATGAGGTGCTCATCAATTTTCGGGCATGTGGAATTGTTGGTACCGTCATAAAGCTTAATCGTTTACGAGGCTATTGATGACTTTTTAAAATGCCCATGTATCTTAAGTAGATATTTGCGATGGAATGAGGTGGGGGTCACCTGGTGTCAGATAAAATTAGTGAGAGAATGGACACCAAAGTTTCGTAACTTTCGATCCAAAGCTGCGGGTTTTCTTGGAAACTGCAAATTTATGGGGGTTTTTTGCTTTTGAGCAACATTTTTTAGAACAGCCTTGTAGAAATGTGTTTTTCAATGAACATTAAAGGTGTTGAGCCGAAAATTTTTTTTTATAACTTAGTAAAAATTACCTAACAGGCGGAAAGATACTGGTTTCTCCAATTTCAGTGTCTTGTTGAGAGCCTGATTCCACCACAATGCAACACATTTAGATTCAGTGTATTGTCAAAAGAAAGAGACTAAGTTTCAGGTTTTCAAGTCATGCTAATTTTTTCGTGAAAAGCCTTGTATTTATGTAATTTTTTTTGCTTCTCGTTTTCCAGTTGATTTCCCTATTGCTGTGAGAATGCAGCTCCTGGAGAAAATGGCAGATACTGAGTGAGTGCTACTCCTAATTTTGTTCTGATTACATAGAAGTATATCTTTTGTTCTGCCAAACCTGGTTCTAATGCACAGAACAGAAGAAAGAGTAGATCAGCACACTAGTGCACGCCGTGGTATGCTCTGCGCTAGTCTAGAGAAGCGAGAAAATTCAATGGTGGTGACTTCATGAAAACACATTACATGCTGTCATATTATTAATATGTTCATGTGTAGGGCCTCCATCAACTGACTTTGCAGAGATGATAAGTCATCACTAAATGAAGGTGGGTCAACAAATGTACAAAGGCTATTTTCTCTTTTCTAGGTTTATGCGCAGTGTGTTGTCCCATTGATGTTTGCAAACAACACACAAGCGATGCCTCTCTCTGGCCTGCTATCGATTCATGTGCGCTCTCAAGTCCTTTTCTCCTGTTTCTCTATCCCCAAGTGCGAAAGAGTGAAAATTTAGTAGAAATATCTCTCAAAATACTCTTGTCTTAAGTTTTGAAGTGGAAGCATTTCGGTTAACCCTTAAAACCCTGAATTCTTTTTTTTCATACCTCCCTAGAATCCTGAATTAAAATTGAGATACTAGAAAATACTAGGTTGGTTCATTGTTTTGTTTACTGTGTCTTTAATTGTTGTTAGATTTTACTGAAGTTTGAAAATGTTATTTATATATGAATGCACAGCCTGAACAAAAGGGGAAAAGGTTAAAACACTGGTTTTTAGGACCAACTCAATGAGTTAAGTCTTGTGTGTGATCCCCGACTCCACTTCAGTCAAAGTATCTTTAGACCCAGCCGTAGATCTAGCCTCTGGTAGCTTTAGTGGTGATCCCCTGCCAATTCCACTATCGTCAAAATCATCATCGATGTTATGTGGAACATTGCAATCGTCTTCAACTGTCATATTTATCGATATATCTGACTGGGAGATCATTATTGGGTTCTGGTTCAGGATCAAAAATGTGAAAAATTTTGCGGCCTGAAGGGCCTGGCAGCGAAGAGTGACTAGTTTTTCTTAAAAACTCGCATAATTTCGAAACTTTTGGTGTAGAACTGCTCTCATGACATTATTGGTACTTTCTGCTCAAGACAGAGTCATCTGGAGTTACATCCCGTTTCTAGCACCGGGAATCAAACGATAAAGTCGACCAGCGGTATAAGCTGGGTGTGGCAGGATTTCAAAGCCGCACTGTTCTGCTATCTGGACTGCTTGTTGTGCCCTGTGCGCTGGGGCGTTGTCATGCAGTAGGAGGACCCCATTACAGAGTTTTCCATACCATTTTCTCACCCGCTCGGACTGCCGTTTTATCAGCAAACCCGAATAGTAGTCCCCTGTGACTGTTTTTCCATTTTCCAGGTAGTCAGTCATGATGATACCTTCACAATCCCAGAAACACGACAGCATGACCTTTCCTCTTGATGGTGTTACCTTTGCCTTCTTTGGTGAGGGAGAAGAAGGGGTTTTCCATGGCATGGACATTTTTTGTTCTTGGTCAAAATGATAAAACCAGTTTCTTCACTATGGATACAGGCTCTTCTGTTACCACAAAGAATGGGCGCCCTTCATGATCTTCAACCATCACCGACATAAATCCAGATTTGAATTTTGTTCCCCAGTATGTCACAGTATTATAACGAGGACATTTGTCACCATAAACTTGGACCATTTCCTGAAAAAAATGTCTGAAGGGGATTTTCCTTGCAAGTGTAAAAACTTGATAACTGAGCGATATTCAACAGGCTCATGGTACAGCTTCAGCAAAGAAAAAACGAACATTTTTGTGCATGGTTTCATTGATCTCGTTGAATAGTGCCTTATTATTGTTGGATTTTCCCGAAAATTTGCATGGTGTGTTCCAAAGAAATTGTCTAGAGGCTGGTGAAATTTCATTACTCTACCGTGATTCCTTCATACCCAGACCAAAGACTTATTGACCCCCCCCCCCCCCCCCCCCCCCTTCGTACTTTCTGCATTTATGAAAACTGGCATTTTTCTTTAAAATGATTCATTCAGCGAAAAGCACAATTTTTCTTTTAAAGTGTATTCAGTACATGCATTGAATAATGTGGACAGATAGTGGTTGCAGACGTATTTTGTTCAAGAAATAAAAGTGTTTGGGATCAAATTGTCATAATATATCCTGATCTTTCGCTACTAGAAAGAGAAAGATCATTGCAAGTAATATGGAAAGGGAGAAAAACTTTCTTATATTACCAGCAGTAGCTTCCAGCCAACGGACTGAGCTTAAGTACCACAAAAATGTTTTTATCTACCCTCGTAGTTGTTACAGTATTTATCAGTATCTGAGGTCTTTCAGGATTTCCCTCATAAGAACCACAAAACATGGTTAAATTGAGGGAAAAAATCCACTGGTCCAGCAGATTTTGGTTTAAGCGGACTCCACTGTGTTTGGTTTTTTCCAATGAACTAACTTGTGATCTGTAATTTTTGTGTGTATAGAAGGATGGCGTTTTGAAGATGTTTTCTGTTACTGTTTAACCCCTTCGGGACCTACATGACGAGCACTGTCTGTCATTTTTTTTCTTCTAATTATGAGGAAGGGGATAGGATGCTATTATGATGATCTCTTGCCTTGAAAAGTGTGAGGACCGTTATGCTGTGCACTGTTTGTCTTTCTATTCACCATACTGTTTACATTAGACATGATGTAGTACAACTAATTTCAGACGGAAATTCAGTTATACTTTTTTCATACATGGAAATTTTTAGTTTGTTGTATGTACAAACCAGATCTAATCATATGAAATCGAGCGTCATGCTTCATCCCTGGGGATAAAAAAAATTGTACTCTATAAAACACAGATTGACCCTGCATCACAAGGAGTTAAAAAGGTACTGAAGAATGTTTAAATGCTGGAATTTGGTGTATGTTCAAATCACCCTGAAACTGCAACTATATTCATTGAAGTTTTATTTACTGCTAACAATCTTTTTTACTTTTATGGTTTCTTCCTTGTAGGTATAGACTTGCTTCTGGCACCAGTGAAAAAATCCAGATGGGTTCCTTCATCGCAGCATTTCAGATAGCCAGAGACCTCATTGCGAAGGACGCTGTATGAATTTTCAGTCGCGGTTGTTGTTTTTTTTTGGGGGGGGGGGGGGGGGGGGGTTCTGTTATATGATTGTACTGGGGTTGTTGTTGTGTCGGAGTTTGATGTTATATTTGATGAGTGAGTGATGTATTGATCCTGTAATTTCAGTTTGATGATCATGAAAAAGGATTGCCTATTTTGTCCTTTTTATACATTGCAAGCAATGTGAATAAATGTTTTTCGCCATATAAGAAGTTTGCTGTATTTTTTTGTTTGACTTTCTGTCAGTTTTTGCAGCCATCTCTCCTTGTATTTGGATGGAGGTCACCTCTGAAAGGTCTTACTTCTTTTCTTTCCCTCTGCTGTTTCTTTCTGTCTAGCTTTTCCCTGCTGTAAATGACTGTTTTAGTGTTGATGTGCTTCTCTCTACTCAAACAAGTTTTTCCCTCTCTCAAAGTTAAGTGGAATGTAAATTTCAGAACATATGCTGAGGTAATCATAGCTCTGAACATGAAGTAATAAGTACAAACCATAAAGTAGTACAGTGAAACTCAGCAGATTCAAAGAAAGGAGACAGATTTCCCTGTTTAAAAAAATTCATAACAATTTTTAAAAATAACTTGGGATTCAAAGAGTATTCTATGAGTGGGGGATGTAGGAACAAGCGTTCTGGGTGTAGAAGCTCAACAGAGATGCAGACACATCACAGTTAGTCATATCTTTCCTCTTCCCTCTCCTGGCTTCTGAACAATGGCAGGCTAATGTAGATATATAGAACTACGCAGTGAATTGCGCACTGGTCTGTGCAAACAAACCTTGTCTTTGATAGGTCCAATACTAAGTGACCTGTTGCTCACCACATTGCTCTAGCAAACACTCAGATTCAATGATATTGGAAGTTGGACCTGATGACTTATGTTTGATGAGGACTACAACTCGGACAATAGGCTGGTGGCGGTATAAAGGCGCCAATACTTTGTTTGGGAAGACCTTCCGTTTTGAATCAGGTTTGACTATCTGTCCAAAATCTGATATGAGAGATGAAATTGAATCTAAATCAATTTTTAAATGAAAGTATGTAGGCCTTCTGATAATTGATTTGTGTTTGTCTGGTGTGGAATCACGTTACAAGTGGGTGGTTGGCGGGTGCTCTGGTGTGGGCTGCTCCTTCTTTCCTATCGAACACCTATTTTCCTAATCGCTCCTTTTTTGTGTTTGATATTGTTTTGTAACGCCTCTAATCTTCGGTACTTATATGACCTTATTGTGTTGCAAGTGCCATGAAACTCTTACTAAAACAGTGGGTGGTAGTCGGCGGCTCTGGTGTGGTTTGCTCCTTCTTTCCTATCAAACATCTATCGTCTTTATCTCCCCCTTCTTTTTTATGTTTGTTACTCTCTAGTAACACCTCTAATCTTCTGGCGCTCCTATGACCTTATGCAGTTGCGAGCGCCGTAAAACCTCTATTAAAACTAAACTTACTAAACACAAAATCACGTTACAAGTTGCACAAACCACACCCTTCCTTTTATGTACCGTGTGAATCTATTAATGACTGCTTTAGTGTGTCTGTGCCTAAAAAAGGTACCAAAAGTCAACACAGACCATTTTGAGATAGAGGCTGATAATGATCAAAAAATAATTTTTTTTTACCAAAATGTGTTTCCATTTTAAAAAATTATAGTTCCACCATTTTTTAACAATGTGTTAAGAGTTTTCATTGATTTGACTTCTAAATATTTTATTTTGAGAGTTGGGTAAACTGCTTTTAGAATGTGATAAAATCTAGTCTTGAAGCTTGTTTTCTCTTCCCCGCAATGTTTTACCATTGAATTATAATTATAATCATGACTGATATTGATGTCAACTGAATGCTGAATTGGAAATGAATTTTCCATGAATAAGTACATTAGAAACAATTGAATCATCGCTTTTTTTTAAAGTTTGTATGTGTTCTAAACTTAAAAGCTAATTTTCTCAAAATTAGATATTTTATACATAACCTCGCAAAATGTGCAATATCTCAAAAACTACTTGAGATATCTCAAAAATTCAAAAACCGCTGTGTTCAGCATTGAATGCCTTATTGGGTACAACCCTAAGCTCAAAATGGTTAAAATCCGACTTTTGGTACCTTTCTTGAGGCACACACATATGACATGTGTTATGACAAGTGGAGCATGATGAAAATGAAAGTAAATTTCTATAAAGACACTGATGTCTGTGGTGTAGCAGTTAGGGCTTTGCTGTGGCATGCAGGAAACCTGAGTTGGGGAAAAATTTTATCAAGTATCTCGGTCTTTCTTCTGGGATCTTACAACTTGCATCCATCTCACTGCTCTCAGCCAAAATTGGCCCTGACAAACTGGGTCAAAAGCCCGCCTCATAAAAGACATAAATTGTGTGGGGCGTGAAAAAAATCTACATTGAAAAAACTGAAAACTGTTATTGTATTCACACACTTCTGTTTTTAATAAATAGTAATAGTAATAGCATTTTAAGTGCATTTAATATGGTATTTTCATGCAAGGCGGTACAACTTGATCAGCAGTAGATAAAAAGTTGTCCAAAAAGTTCCACAAAAAGAGTACAAAAAGTTTTTCCAAAAATAAAAAAACATTATCCAAAAAACAAACATTTGATTCACATACGCACGTATAAATTGCGAATAGAAAAGAAATGGCAGACGGAATGTCTAGCGGCACCGCAGAGCGAGAGACAAGAAGGACATCAGGTACTTGCACAACACACACTGGAGTCTGCTCAAACCAAAATCTGACGAACTGCCTGATTTTCTCGAGTTTAGCCAGGTTTTAAGTTTAGAGAGATTGTAGCAGTTAGGGCAAAGAAAAAAATCAGGGATTTTGTTCTTTTGCTATTTTCGGATTGACTGTTCAGTTTACGAGAACTCCACCGTGTATGTAGATTTGAGTACCATACACAATGTGCACAAAAATATACCTTGTGATATAACGTAACGGAATGTAATCCATCAATTTATCATTACAAGAAGCTGGGTTCGTTTGCACTTAATTACAGTTACAGCTGAGGCAGAAGGGACATTTCATTCATGTGTTTTTGTCAAACTAATAAGTTTTGGGGTTGGTACATTTTCACATTTTGTTTGATTGTACCTACTGATAAAGAACATATTATATTATGATAAAGCAAATAAGTCAATGAATACTTTTGCCCTTAGAAATTAGAAGATCAAATATTATTATTAACATTTTAAGAAAATGTAGTCGGTGGCGCAATGTTAAAATTTAAAATTACACTTTCCCTCCCTCAACTTTTACCTGGCCTCCAATTGTCTGATATGGAGCAGATTTTTTTCCCACAACATATTTAATGCAATTCTTGATTAAATTAATAGAGTGCGAAATTTCACTTCATTCTCTGTAATTTGCAATAAATTTAGGCTAAAATAAACCTTCAAGAAAATTATATTTTATTATTTAGAAATATTTTCAGTATCAGTTTCCTTGTAGAATCTACACTGTAGACAAATCAATTTATAGTGTTAACTTATTAGTTAGTAATATTAGTCATGCTGTTCGTCGTTGTACACAAATAAAGTAGCGTACGTAATTGCAAACACTACACACAAGGTCCCCGTCCCTCAACTTCTCAAGTTATCAAATGACACAGCAGTAGACACTCAACACAGTCATCCATCTTCTCTGCCTTTCATACTCCATCATGTATGCCTGGTTTGAGTTTGAAACAAAGACCTGGGACCAAGTTATATGTAGGGCCTACTGTTACTGTACTAACATGATGTATTCAAATTTATTTTTTTAAAACTAAAAGTTTATAAATTATTGGGGAATTTATTTGTTTAGGTGACAATATGAGATTCATCATAGGATTATCACTACTAACACCTCTGCCTGAATCTTCTGAAATATTCTCTTGTGAAATTGACTCAATGAAATATTCTTTTCTGTCATTGAATCAGAATGGAATATTCTCTTGTTCTACTGGTCTATCTAAACATACAATGAATACCACTGCCACAGAGCCAGCCCTGTTTCAACAGTGCACTTTTTTTCTCCCTCCCCTCCTGTCGAAACAACTTGGTGCATCAGATCTATAGACCTCTAGATTCCACATCATGTAATGTAGTGTAACTGCAACAGCTTTTATTTTTACTCGTTTCTGTTCCCTTGCTCAGCTGCAGCTCTTAGTCTTAGCCAGTTTAACAATGGCATAGTCTTGCGATACTTTTCTTTCCCTTTGTTGTTTCTGTATGTATGAGTCTGTTTTACTTTTTTTCCTCCATCAAATGTTGATTTCATGGGTGGTTGAAAGGCGCTAGTGCTGCAATGTGCTACCTCTTTTCTTTCCCTCTGCTGTTTCTGTCCGTCTGTCGCCCCATTTCCCTGCACCAAATGATTGTTATTGTGTTGAGTTGTTTCTTTTTACTCAAATAAATGTACAAAACAGCAGACGCAAAATGAGAACTCTGAAATTGTTTACACGATGTATTGGCTATCTGCAGATATCAAAAAAACTTCCTCTTACATTGAAACATAATATATATCAGAGAATGCACCATAGGGAGGAGAAACAGAAGAAAAAATGTACATACACATGACATGCGTTACAGTACCCATTTTGACCACAATACTGTAGTGTAATTTACAGCAAAACTTCAAGTTCAAGAGACACGAGTTTGGAAAGACGCCCTTTATATAAATGAGCATATGTTGAGAGACAATTTGTCCCGACCTTGAACACTGTTCAATATAAGTTATAACAGAGGGAAAAAAACCCATGTCACAGCATTTCAAAACAAATGACACGTTCATACTGGTATTTTTACATAAGGCAAGGAAATAAGTCTTATTTAATTATATCATGCCCATTTAACATTAGATAAACAAATATTTCATTCATTCTAGGCTTGCCATTACATTTCACTAGCACTGTTCACGCTCCAACCCATCTGTTGGTAAAGAAGGTGTAAAAGACTAGCTCAAAAATGAAAAAACTCAGATTCAGTGACGTTTTCCTCATGAAAAGAAAACTCGCACTGGATCTGAGTATGAGTATGAATAGGAAAATGCCTTGTTACTTACTTAATCTTACTTCTTACCTAGCCATTTGCTTCTATTTTACTGGTGGCTCTTTAGGTTTGCACACAGTACATGAGTTTGTAAGCTATGCGGGGAAATACATTTTTTTCAAGTATTTTTGTCTTTTCCCTGGGATGCCCTGTCCCTCCCACTCCCAGCCCAGGTTGTCCTGACGGGCAGGGTCCTAGCAGCTTACCTCTGAAATAATCAAAATTATACTGATGGAGGAGTAAAGGTTTACAATTAACCAACCTTTTTTTCTCTCTCCCTCTTACTCTCTCTGTCTCTCCCTCTTACTCTTATCTGTCTCTCCCTCTCTCATACTTTTCTGTCTGCTTTCATCAGCATTTTCTCATCACACTAGAAAAATCAGAATTACAGAAACCATCAAAACAATTTACAAAGAAGTTTGCTTAAGTTAAATTCCAGTATGGCATCAAATCAGGTTCCACGCGAGCCACTTTGCTTTTATTTTGATACGCTGATTCCGAAAATGAAATCAATTTTTAGTGGCGATAATTATTTTAGAAATTCTACATGCAAAGTTTAATCCAGCGCGGCTGCAAACTTCAAAGGTATTTTGCATCACAGTTCGTCTCTCCAATTTGTGTGTGTGTGTGTGGGGGGGGGGGGGGTGGACGGCGCTGATCGTGACGTACGCGAGACGCACCGTCTGTGAGTGACCTCCTAGTGTCACTCCCAGTACCGGTACCGGTACCAATACTGGCGGTTCTCGGCAGAAAGTACAGACACTGGGTTTCGCCGGTTCCGCCCAGCACTACTGAACGTACAAATCTTCTCTGAGTCTCATCTCTATAAAAAATATATTTCTTTAAATAAAAAATTTCTTTAATAAAAATTTCTCACCAAACTTTCTAAGATCTAATATATAACCTTTCTCATAGGCTCCCTGGGTGGGGGGAGTTCTATATGGAGTATTTCCTTCTGTCAGCGTGTATATGATCCCACTCAGCCTGAGCCTTGTCTGGCCCTGAGAGGCAGGGTAGAAACAGCCCGCCCCTAAACAATCTAAATTGTGTTGATGGGGGTGTAAAACATTACAGTTACAATAACTGGTTGTAATTAGAAAAGTTTTTTGACTTTACGTGTGAAAAGTCATGTTATAATAAATATAATCTGCAGGAAACTGCAGAATTAAAATTTTTTTTTTACCTTATCACATAAAGGATTGAGACAGACATTCACAAAAATGTCAACATCTGCAAAGAAATACTGATGAAACATGAGGCACATTCTGTAATAAGCCAGAAAGTTAAGAAATATAACAGGAAAATTACAAAGTGGGCACATTCTGAAGCCAAAAATGTCCCTCAGACAGTGCAGTGCATAGAAATGTTTGAAAAGTGTAAGCGGGAATATCAAAGTCATTTAGGCAACGGGTTCGCTTTCTTCTATCACAGTATTCCAACCTAAATTTGTAGATATATCTGATAAGAAAAACAATTTTTCCCCATTCAATGGACAGATTCCTTTCCAGCAGCAGCTTTTCGCAATAAATGTATTTTTAAAAATAACCACCATGATCCAATAAAGGACCTATCATCCATAATTCAAATCTGTTGAGGAAACCAAACTATGTCACATCTGAAGATCAAACCCAAAATCACATTTCTCCCCCCTCTCACACTTCAGAAGTTTTAAAGAGAAAGAGAGCTTTCAGTACAGTCAGAGGTATGATTAAAGTTTACGAAAAGTCTCCGTCAACATTCCACCATGGTTTGTCCTACGAGTGCATGACCTTGAGAAGCTCGGAGGCCACGAATAGGACTATAGTCAGTGGTGAAGGCATTTCCCCCAGCCCTCGACACACTATCATACACTAAATCGTCCGAAATCTGGAAAGCAGAGTTCACAGAATAATTTAATGCCCAGCCTAAACCTTTCGCTTGCGCGGCAGCCAAGTATCTTTTCCTCCGGTTAATTTTGTAGACTTTAATTCGTTCTCGCTCTTCTTCCGAGTCCTCGAGAACATTGTCCCAGCGTAAACTTTCGTTGATAACAGCGCTAGCAACGAGATCTATGGCAACACCGCCGCTTGACTCTTCTTTTGGCAAAGAATGAGAAGACCTGTCAGTAGCTGTCATTTTCACGCCGGCCGGAGCCGATTTCGTTGTTTTGTCTTTCGCGGGTCGTGAGGACTTCCCGTTCCCGTTCGACATTTTGCCGCCTCCCGCGGCATTATTCTGTCTGAGGCGGCCATTAGTCAGTCTCGAGGAAGAATTATTATTTTGTTTTTGGTGCTTGAGATTGAGGCTTGAGATTCTCTGTGCGAGGGTGTTGACCACTGCCTGGTCCGGCCGATATAGAAGTTTGGACGGGTGCTCACCACGTGGTGAGTTGCGGTTCTTGGCTGCCTTCACGTTGGTCAGAGATGGGAGCTTCGTGGTTGTTGAAGGATTGGGAGTTTCCTCAGGCTCGGTATCTAAAGAAAGAAAGACATGACAGTCCAAATTAGAAAATGAAACATTATACTATTTCCAGTCTTGATATCTGAAGAAAAATTGTCAAAGTCCCAACATATGAATTTTTAAAAAAAGACATGAAAGTCCAAATTAGAAACGACAAATCTATAGGCCTAACAGTCTCAAAATCTAAAAATGAATAATTCTATGAATAAATAAATAAATATATATATATATATATATATAAATGAGTGAACGAATGATGGAATGGCTACAAAAAAATTCAATTCAGAAAATAGAACCTTGAGATATCTGTTAGCATTATAGACAGTTTGCATTCTTCGGGTTCAGTATCAATATTACATTTGAAAAAAAAAATAAAGACATAAAATTCCACAGTAAGGAAAAAACCCCCACAGACAGACAGACATACCATAGGCACCCTCCAGCTCCAACCGTCTGATATTTATACGGGCATACCATTTTAAAAAAACAACAACGTGAAGAGCTTCAGTAACAAAAACATGCTGTGTTCTCGAAACACCCGGGCGCTAGGCTTTCTTAGAGATCTCAGCCTATACACCCTGACCTGACCCATTCAATTCGTTAACCGTACACCATAAGTAGTAGGCCTATAACTGTAAGGGTACACGTGCCACTCTACAATGCCTACACTCAGACAAAGCGAGATATTGACGCCCAACACACAGAAGAGATCCAATGACAAAAGATGGTGTGTTTTTCTGTTTGAGTAAAGAGAAGCACGTTGACACAATAATGGCCATTTAGTGCTGGGAAAAAGTAAGACAGAAAAACAGAGGGGAAGTAAAGAAATAGATCTACCAGTAGCGGCCTCCAACCATTTGCGCTATTTGAGTATAAATTGATTGTTTAACTATATATTAATTCCATCCGCATTATTTAGGGCAAATAATTAAAAGGTGGCCAATCCTTCGATCCTGCCTGTAAGGGCCACTACAGGCCTAATGAGATGCACCATCCTAGCAGGATATACTTGATAAAGATACAGTTGAACTTGCTCTAATCACCTTGTACAAACTTCCATGTCCGCCCCCCCCCTGCTCCAAAAACTTGCGTTTTCCCCCCTAAATTATTACATTGACAATGTCCACCCGTAGAACCATCTGTCAATGTAAAGCGACCGCTTTTCTCATCGACAATAGTGGTCGTCTAGGGCAGGTAAGGCCATACAAGACTTCCCTATTGAGGAATCGAACTTACGTCAAGTCTTCTGCCTGCCCTAAGAGTCTAACAGCTTATTGACATATTACAGCAGACGCCGGTTTGGGCACAGAGTGAGGAGAACGTAAACAAGAAACCGGCCAGTGGGTCGCCAGAACTCATACATATTGCCCCTTCAAAACCATTATTGGTCTTAAGTGCCATTTAACCCCTTCAATAGCACGTTGCCCTAACTGCTGTGAAAAAAAATCGTGATTGAAAACTTTGGCTTTTTGAAATTTGTAATATAAGCCTATGCACGCCTTCTAATCTTTCTCCTTTTTTTGCGCAAGATGCATTTATTGCTGAATGTAAAAAATTAGTGCATGTTACGTAGCCTAAGTCAGTCACATTGCTGTGTACGGTATAACTTTCTTGAATAGTGGACATTTTGGCACTTTAAAAAATTGCTTTAATGATTCGATTTACGATTACAGAGTGTGTATATATGTTATATATATTATATACATGTATCA